CCTGAGTAACTATTAAAACGACTCCATACCGCATACATCTCCCAACTGCACTACCACTAGAACCCATACAGTCCCCAGACCCTGACCTGACAACCCTCCTGCAACCCAACCCCTTCCCCAATGATCTGACCCAACCTCCCCCTACCAAATGACCTGACACCTCTGCCACCCCATACTGGCCCAGAACCAACCCGATTTCCCCACAGACCCCACCCTACTCATCTGGCATCCAACCCTTCGTGCTCTATCCAATCCCTAACTGGTATCTTTCCCAGCTGGCATCCTACTTACCCGGTACCCTGGCCCCTGCCTTTTACCCACCTGGCAACCTACCCTCACAGCACCCTATGTACTTTTGTACCTACTGCTTGACAGCAGCTATCAAAGTGGCTTTCGGGACCTTTAAATGTCAGAATTTGACAGCTGACTGCTGTGAAAAGGAGCATTGTTTGCCTTTCTCTGACAGTTCTGTGCTACTAAAGAACTGTCAGAAGGGAATTATAGCTCTGCCCTGAGCAGGGTTTCCTCTCAAAAATGTAGAGCTCTTCTTTTGTATTGAGGGCCAAAGTGGCAGTCTGCGTGAGATTGCTACTCCTTGGAAAATTGGTCAATGGTATTTTATTTCACACTCAGCAGGTAAAAAAAAAATCTATATGGAAGTGTGTGTACTAGTCATACTGGACCTCCATTTTGAGATACACAGATTAGTCAGACCAGTATGCGGTATTCGCTCGTTTTATTGCTTCTTTTTCCTTCTGGGAATCAGTGTACAACTGTAAATATTTAACAATCTTGCACTTTCGTGTTAAAGGTCACATATTGAGGAAACAAATGCATTTTCCATTCCTACACTCACTATCCAAAAAAGGTTGAATACATACTATTTTCTATATACATCAGAGGACAAAAAAAAGTAACATGCTGAAAGCTGCATGATGCAAGAACACTGTAACGAGATACCAACAAATACGAAGCATTGTTTATTACAGGCAGAGCGACCGTCTGTGCGCCTGCGTAAAGATTCGCCCTGGCCACTTTGACCTTTTTTAATCAACCTGTTGCAGAGAGTTAACACAACCACTTCTGGAGCTGGCGGGCGCCCCCGGCACACACTATCCCTGTGCTCCAAGCGTCCCACTGGACATTCAGAAACTGGCTGTCATCTTAATGGATGAAGACCCTGGCGATGGAAGATTTTGGCACAGTCCCAACGTTTCAGCACTGTTTCTCCAGACTGCAGTGCGCAAGCGCCAGTTCACGGTGGGGTTACGTGCTGGCTTCCTGAGTGGAACGCAGTGACGTTACGGGCACCAGCTGGTGGAACGTTGATACAATGGCCGCGCCGTTCTATAGGCTGATGTCTCGATGTAGCCGTTTGTCCAGGTCATTAGCATGAAACAGCTACAATACTTCATTCAACTGATTGGGGTCATCATCACTGTCCCGTCCCTACGCTTGCTGCGGAGAGTTAGGGCTCTATTGGCCTGGACGTGCGAGGTTCTTAAATGTTGTAGTGTCGGTGAAGCGTTCTGCTCTCCTACCCTAGCCGGCTCTAACTTGTATTTTGTCATTTTAGGAGGACCTTCTCCCTGGCTCTGCTCCATAGCAGGAGTCGAAGGTGGCAAAGAGTGGCGCTGGGGCTGGGTGCAACTTTGGCCGCTGTTCCCGTTTCACAGGTACAGCTACAATTTATGGTTAAAGTGCGCGTTGTAAATAGGGAAGTAGTTTGTCATGCACGTAGTTCCGAGCTGTAAATGCTGATGAATAATGTGGAGTTTGAATATTTGCGTTAGCCAACGGGAACAAGTAGCCTGAAAATGACGATCGGTTATCTTTATTTCAGTCTAAACCTCTCCCCACATTTTAAAACCTGGTTGAGGTACACTAACAAATAATACTGTTGCTAACTTCTTTAGTCAGCGATCGTTATCGCTGTGACACGGCCGTTTAGTATGTAAAGTAAAATTAATGCCTGGATTCTTCAGTTAGTTTGTAAAGGATTGCAACCCAAGGGTGCAATTTACCAGTGGATCTATACAATATAAAAATAACAAGCAGGAAAAAAGACCACTCGATTCACCAAAGTTGACCAAACAATGAGGCAACGTGATTAAACTTTATGTCAATGTGTTCTTCTTTGGCTGGCTGTTAAACAGCTTTGGGATTTTCTGCAGCTTTGAAAGGTTCTGTGCAATGGAAGTTTGCTTTTTTTGGCTTTGGGAGAACTATCAGTGTGGAGTGGAGTTACTTCTACCGAAGCAGCAAAATGGAGACTTCCTACTATTTTGAAATCCATTTGCTTTGCACCAGTAGAAATTACCATGTGGCAATTGAGAGCCGAAGTTTCTTTTACCTTTCTTCATTCATGGGACGTGAGCATCTTTGACAAGGCCAACATTTTTTGTTGTCATTGCTAATTGCCCTTGATAAAGCTGCTGCCTTAACTGCTGTGCACAATCTGGTGTTGCTACCACACAGTGCTGTAAGGAAGAAAGTTCCAGCGATAGTAACAGAATGAAGTTATAGTTCCAAATCAAAATAGTGTGTGACTTAGAGTCATACAGCACAGAAACAGACACTTCGGTCCAACTGGACCATGCCGACCGTAAGCCCAAACTAAACTAGTCCCACTGCCCAACCTTGGCTCAAAACTCTCCAAACATTTCCTATTCATGTACTTATCCAAATGCCTTTTATACGTTGTAACTGTAGCCGAATCCACCACTTCCTCTGGAAGTTCATTCCACGCATGAACCACACTGTGTAACAAAATTGCCCCTCATGTCTATTTTTTTAAATCTTTCTCCTCTCCCCTTAAAAATATGTCCGCTAGTCTTGAAATCCCTCACCTTAGTGAAAAAACACCTGGCATTCATCTTATCTGTACACCTCACGATTTTATAAACCTTTATAAGGTCATCCCTCAAAATTCTACGCTCCAGTGAAAAAAGTCCAAGCCTATCCAGCCACTCGTTATAAGTGGCAAAATCTTGGTAAATCTCTTCTGACGTGTGGGAATGTTGCAGTTTCATTTATTCATTCACACGATGTGAACGTTGCTGGCTAAGGCCCAACATTTATTGCCAATCCTTAGATCCATTGAAGGTGTGGAAACTGCCCTCTTGAATATTGTAGTCCACAATGCCATTAGGGAGGGAGTTCTAGGATTTCAACCCAGTGACAGTGAAGAAACAGTGATATATTTCTAAGTCAGGATGCTGCATGATTTGGAGGAGAACTTGCAGGTGATGGTGTTCCTGTGGATCTGCTGCTCCTGTGCGTTGGTATTGGTAGGAAAATATATTGAAGGTGTTAGGGTGCCAGTCAGATGTACTGCATTGTCCTAGATAACGTTATTATTGGAGCAGTACAGTTGGAGAGTGTTCCATTGCATTCCTGGCTTGGTTTGTGCCATGTAGATGGTGGATAGATCTTGTGGAGTCAGGAGGAGCAGGATCCTTAGCCACTGACTTTCTCTGTAGCCACAATGTTTATATGGTTAGTTCAGCTCGCTTTGTAGCCAATGGTGACTCCCAGGAGGTTGTTTTTGAGGAGCAATTCAGTAATAGTAATACAATTGAATGTCAAGGGTGATGGTTAATCCCCTTGCTGGAGGTGGTCATTGCCTGGCACTCCAGTGTCACAAATGTTACTTGCCATTTGGCCTATCTGACTGAAGATGCTTAGATGCTTCAGCCTTTACCTTTGCACTGTGTACTGGGCTCCCCCATCATTGAGAATGGAGATATTTCTGGAGCCTCCTGTTCCTCCTGCAATGAGTTGTTTAATTGTCCATGCCCATTCATAACTGGATGTGGCAGGACTGCAGAGCTTAGACCCGATGCATTGGTTGTAGGATTGCTCAGATCTGTATGTTGCAGGCAAGTCCTGTGTTGTATCTTTGTTAGGTTGACATCTCATTTTTAGGAATATCTGGTGTTGCTGCAGGCATGCCCAGCTGCACTCTTCCTTCAACCAAAGCTGATTTCCTGGCTTGTGGTACTGGTCGAGTGGGGAAATGCTAGGCCATTGAGGCTACAGATTGTGGTGCCTCATGAATGCCTACTTATAAGTTGCTAGATCTGTTTGAAATCTATCCCATGGAACGCGGTGCTACACAACATGATAGTCCCAGCTTCACATTGAGAATAGTTTGTCTCCACGAGGACTGTGCGGCACTCATTCTTCTGATGCTGTTGTGAACAGATGTATCTTCTGCAGATGAATTTGGTGAAGATGAGGTGAAGTATGTTTTTACTAAGTAATACTAAACAAACGGGACTACCCCACTAAAGCACAGGCGCTACTAGCAGACACGAACACATACCGGAAAGTGCAAATAGACCCAACACTGCAACTGGGTAATAAAATAATCAACACCCGAAAGAGACTCGAACAGACTGAACAAATCGACAAAGCCGACTACCTAAAAATGAAACCTGAAGGGACAAACATCCCCCAGATTCTACGGCCTCCCAGAAGTACACAAACTGGAAGTACTCCTCAGACCCATAGTCTCCCTCCCAGGCACACCAACACACAGGTTAGCCAAGGAGTTACAAAGAAGACTAAAGCACCTCGTTAGCCAGTCACCCCATTCAGTCCACTCAGCCCAGGAGTTCCTCAAATCCCTCAAAGACATAAAAATAGACAAGGACGAGACCATGGTGTCCTTTGATGTTACTGCCTTTTCACATCGATTGAGATACCACTGGCAAGAGAAACACGAGCAACACCAGTAAAAGAACGAGACTTGAGTGACACCAGCCCCACAGACAACACACTGAAACTACTGGACCTATGCCTCACGACCCACTTTACCTTTAATGGCCAGATCTACGAACAAATCAATGGGACACCTATGGGGTCGTCCATCTCTGGACTAATAGCAGAAGCAGTGATGCAGAGACTCGAAAGCATAGCTCTTCTGCAGATCCAACCCAAACTATGGATCCGATACGTGGACAACACTTTCGTCATCATCAAACGGACTAAACTAGAGGAGACACACCAACTAGTAAACAACACTTTCACCGGCATCGAATTCACCAGGGAAGAAGAAAAGAATGAACAGCTCCCATTCCTGGACATCATGGTAGAATGCAGGGCCAATGGAGAATTTCTGACAAAGATACACAGAAAGGCCACACACACGGATCAAGTCCTGAATTTCAACAGCAACCACCCAAAACCCACAAACGAGTGACAACACATTGCAGCAACCCGGAACTATGCCAAAATGAAGAAGAATACCTCCACCAAGTATTTAGAGATAACGGATACCCGAACAGCTGGATCTGACGATGCCTGTCACACAAACACCAACAGGAAGATACAGTACGCCCTAACACACTCCTCATGTTACCGTACATCAAGAACATATCTGAACTGACCACAAGACTCCTACCGCCACTGGGCATCAGAGTGACACACAAACCTACGTCAACCCTACGCCAACTGCTCACTCGAACCAAAGACCCCTTACTATGGACAGACCAACATGATATATAAGATCCATGCAAAGACTGCGACAAACATTACTTTGGACAGACAGGAAGGGAACTGGCCACAAGAATACATGAACACCAACCAGCAACAAAAAGACATGACCAATACTCACTCATCTCCATTCACACTGATAAGGAGAACCACCTGTTTGATTGGGACAACATCAAGATCCTAGCTCAGGCCAAACAGAGACAAGCATGGGAATTTCTAGAGGACTGGTTCTCTGCCAAGAAGGCCATCAATAAACACGTAAAATTAGAACCTATATATACAACACTGTGAAGAAAAACCGGAAATGAGGTAACCAATTCCAACGGACCCCAGAATTTAAATAACAAGCGGGAAAACACAACAACGCTTCATCGGAGGCTCCACTGATGATGTTACCCAGCAGGGTAATGAAACATCTGCAGACTAACGAACCAGCTCAGCGAGCCAACAAACCACAACATCCACAACCCGAGCTACAAATCTACTGGAACTTTTATGATTTTCCTTCTTGCTTCCCTCAGCACCTGCTACAGGCCCAGTCTAACAGCAATGTCTTTTTCGGACTTCACCAATTCAGTCAGTAGCGTTCTATTGAGCCACTCTTGGTGATAGATATTCCCCGTCTCTCCCTCTCTCCCTCTCTCTTTTTCTGCCACACCCCACTCCACCTTCAGATTTGTCATCTGAGGAGGATGTGAAAGATGATACTGGTGATCAGCAGGAGGTTTCCTTGCCTTTTTTGACCTGATGCCCTGAAACTTCATAGGGTCCAGACTCAGTATTGAGGACTCCCAGGGCTATTCCACCACTGACTATACCATCATACTGCCACCTCTGGTGGGTCTGACCTGCTAATGCAACAAGACGTAACCAGTGATGATATCTGGCACATAAAGATTCTCGTGGAGTCATTGTCTATAAGATAATGTAAGCCTGTTGATTGATTGATTATTCTGTCCTAACTTTGGGCAAAATGCAAAGCTATTAATAAGGAAAAGTTTGCAGGGTTGTCAGGGCTATGTGCTGTTATATTTCTGGTGCCTTGGTTGATGTCAGGTGATCTATCTGTTTTCATTCCTTTTTATGAGACTTTGCATTGGTACTGAGTGTCTTGCTGGGGCAACTAAGAGTCACCTACATTGCTGTGGATCTGGAGTCACACACAGACGAGACCATGTGAGATTGGCAGATTGTCCTTCAAACATGGCCATTAGTGAACCAGATGGATATTTATGACAATTGATGATGGTTTCATGGTCATCCTTGGACTAGCTTTTAATTCCAGCTTTACTAATTTCGTTCACATTTCATCATCTGCTCTGATGCAATTTGAGCCCATGTCCCCAGAACATATAACATTACCAATACATCACCCCTTCCTCCTAAATTGGTGATTCAGGAAATATAAATTAGATATAAAATATGTACAGGAAGCAAATAAAAGTTGGAATTTAAAGATGAAGATGAGATACACAGGAAAATAAAATAATTGATAAAACATTTCCAATATTTAATTCTCTCCCAAAGGAGTGACATTTCGGGCTGACAGTTATTGTTTTCAGGGTCAGAGGTGTTGGCTGGCACTAATCATTGCTGATTTGCCTTAAAATCCATTTAACCACGACTTGCAATTGTAACATTTTTTGGCATGTTTAGTGGGGATGGAATCTTAACTTCATGCCGTGGTATATTTTTCCATGCCGCATCCATTAGAGACATTGTTATACTGCATCTTGAGAAGTTGGGTAACTTGAAGCACTGTTTCCAGATTTACATGTTTAATTGCACATGAACAGTGTGTGGATTTTATTCCATCATAATGGTAAGCTGTGGTAGCCTCAATGTTATCATTGATGGAAAGCGTCTGCTATTAACTGTCTTTGTAATTGCGTTCTGTTTTCTTCCACCTTGCTTTCCAACCTTTCTGAGATGCACATTCAAATTTAAGTTTTTGGTTCTGATGAAGTGTCAGGACAGGAGGTAGTAATTTATTCTAATAATTTAATTGAATAGAATTGGTGTACACAATTGAAATGTGCTTATTAGTCTAAATTATAATGTTCATAGTGTGTATCTACAAATTCTGCTTTTTTTCCCCTTCCAGTTGATATTTATATCTAACACTTGATTTTCAGTCACAGTCTTCATCAACGTCTCTCGCTCACGAGGATTTAATCAAACGGGCTGTCTCATTAGTAACTGACGGTGCCAATACTTTTCTGTCACAAACAACACTTGCACTTATTGATGCTTTGACAGAATATACTAAGGTATGTTGAAGTAGTTTTGCTTAGAAACCGTTACAGTTTAAAAGAAAAATCTCCAGGCTGCTTTTGTCAGCTGCAAGGCCTGAGAATCGGCACTTTGCAGTAGTTTGAACTTCAATTTACTACTCTGATCCTTCTGCTGGTAACTGATACAGCTTGCCAGAAACCTTCCTTTTATTCTTGGTGAGGCTTTGAGCTAAATTATGGTCTGTACAGGCATCTCATTTTCTTAGTAGTGATGAGTAAGTTGACCTCTCTGTCATGTAGGATCATAGAGGAGCATTGTACAAAAGAGGCCATTTGGCCCACAGAATCTGTAATGTGGTTGAAAAACAGGTGCTGTGTGTCATGAGTCAAAAAATTCTATTTTCTTTAAAGTTAGTGTTTACAGAATGATTGTAATTGTATGATAAACTTTTCGTGTAACTTGATAGAATTTTAAAGAATTCAAAATATCACAGCTGCTTAGTTGTTTGTTAAAATGTTAACATAAGCAAAGTAAATCTGTCTCTGTATATGACCTGTTTTTCTTAAAAGAAATGGTGTCTTTTTATAAGTATGTTGGTTCACTCTAGGCTGTCCACACCTTGATATCACTTCAGCAGCAGTATACTGGTCTTGTTGGCCACATAAGCGATAAAGAGGAAGATGCCATTTGGCAGGTCATAATTGAGGCTCGTGTAAAGGTATGCTTCAATGCTTCCTCTCATTATAAGTAGTTTAGAGCTAAAATAGGAAGAGAACTTTTCTCCTGTTTCAGATTTCTGACATTAGTGACGTAAGATACACTACATGAAATTCAGATTGTTGCAAAGTGTACCTTATGCTACAATACTGTCCTTTATGCCTAGCAACAGAACAGCATTGTCTACTTCGCAACCCATTCCATTTTGTTTGTTGACGATACCAATCTTGTTTCGAATTAAAACACATTTTAGTTTGGAGTTTACATTTACAAGAGATAAATTGGAGACTTCCCACCGTCATTTCACATAGGACATGTATGTCAGAAAAATAGGACTGCAGTAGGGGGCCTAGTTTGAGAATTAGGGTCAGCCTGTTCAGGAGAATTGTTAGGAAGCACTCCAACACACAAAGGTTGGTAGATGTTTGAAACTATCTTCCACAAACAACAGTGGAAGCAGGATCAGTCATTAATTTTAAATTTGAGTGATAAATTATTATTAAGCAAAGGTGTTAAGGGATATGGGCTGAAGGCAGGTGTATGGAATTAGGCCATAGACCAGCCATGATCTCACTGAATGGTGGAACAGGTTTGAGGGGCCGAATGGCTTACTTTCGTTCCTACGTTTTAATGTCAATGCAGACAAAGCTGCGTTTAAATCCAGCTCCCAAAGGTATGAAGATGAAGGGCTTGCCACACCCTCCTATAAAATAGTTAATTGTCAGAACCTGTGACCATACAGAAGGTTTGGAATATATGTTGTAAAATCAGAATGTAGGTGGAAATTGTAGTTTAATAGCATTATTTTTTAATCACTAATTCCAGCAACAGATTTCAAAAGTCACAATATTAGGCGTAAGGAAACCATTCAGTCCATTTATTCAGAATGATCCTGTATCCCCTGAATTAGGAGTGGAGGTTGGCCATTCACCTTTCAAACTTGTTCTACTATTAAATTAGATCAGGGTTGATCAGTTTGTGTTCTGAATTCCACATTACCTCTAACCCTGATAACCTCTGACTCCTGTGCCATGAATCTCCCCACCTCTGCCTTATAAGTACTCAATGACCCTGCCCTCAATGACGTCTAAGGCACAAAGTTCCCAAGTTATGCCACCCTCTGATTTTCCCCTCTTGTCTAAACTGGCTACTCCAGTTTTTAAAAATCTGTCCCCTAATTCTGGACTTGCCCACAATCAAATATAATTTTCACACTCACCTTGTCAAGACCATTCAGGTTCTTAAACTTCAATCAAATCACTCCTCACTGTCTTAAACTCCATGAAATCCAGTTCAGCCAGTTTAATATTTCTTCATAAAGCAACTTGCTCATTCCAGGTATGAATTCAATAAATTTCCTCTGAATTACCTCACAATGTATTTAAATCCTTCCTTCAATAAGATGACCAAATCTGCGCACAATATTTGACACGTGGTCTAACCACTGCCCTCTATATAACTGAAGCATAACCTCTTTACTAATGTATCAAATTCCTCTCATAATAAAGGATAGCATTCCATTCACACCTTAATCACTTGTTTTATTTGTATACTAACCTTCTGTATCATCTAATTACTTCTTAATGGATTCTAAGATTTTCACTTCCACTACTCTCTGGGGAGTTCATTCTACGTATTATATCTTTTAGTCCTGTTGAATAAAGCTTCCACATAATAATCGTATGTTTATTAGTTTGAACCACAGCCACTGTTCATAATCTTTCAATTTTATTTAAAATATTTTTAAACAATTATAATTTAACCTTTTCAAGCTTGCTTTCTCCACAGGGATGCACTGTGGTGTATATTTTTAATGCACAGAAGGTTTTCAACAGCTTTTCTAATGCCTAGGTAAACTGCTATTGAAATGTAACTTTTGCTATATCTCGTAATTAACTGCAGAGTAACATGTATCGAGAAAAATATCTGAGTTTTGAGTCTAAGTGGATGACTGCAATCAAGGTGTCTGAGATGGCAGCAGAGGCTGCGTATCAAGCAGGTATTGAGCTACTAAAAATGTGGTTTGGTTGTATGATTTTAATTATGAATATAAGAGAAATGCTTTTCAAGAGGAGATACAGATATCATGAACAAGGTACACGTATTTTGTTGACTGTAATTGTGTGGAGCATTTCCCAGAACACACACACTTTTCTGACATCAAATAATTCACCATTTAGCATCTGTTTAAATGAGAAACTGATTGCAGTGTTTTTTTTTGCATTTGATTAATGTTACACACAGGATCCAAAGACTAATTTTAGTTAAATATCACCATAAATATGTGAGCAGAATCATCTTAATATCAATTCAATATAATGCAGCTAGTTCTCAGTCAGTGTACTCAACAGGGATTTTTCCTGTATAGCACAACAACAAATTGCATTTAAATAGCACCTTTTAACACAGTAAAAATATTCCAGGATGCTTCACTGGAGTGTTAGCAAACAAATACGACACCAAGCTACTTGGCCATTTTGGCAGGTGACCAAACGTTTGGTGAAAGAGGTAACTTTTAAGAGTCTTAAAGGAGGTAGAAAGCATGAGAAGCTTAGGAAGAGGGTCAGAACTTGCATCCCAAACTGCTTAAGGTTGTTGATGTAGTGGAAATTGAGAATGTGCAAGACACTAGAATAGACGGAGGATGGAGATTTTAGAGGGATTTAGAACTGGAATAGGTCAGAAGAACAGAGACATGATCATTTTTGAATTTGAAGTGTTGCTGGACCAGTTTGTGTAATTCAGCACACTCAGAACAGGAGCAAGAGCTACATCTACTTGCGGACTGGAGGTAGGATGATATTTTACGTGTTTGTTTGATTTTCTTCGAAGTGTGGCATCCTGCTGTTATAGCATTTAAAATATGTCAATGGGCATCACTGGCCTGGCCAGCATCTATTGCCTGTCCGTTACTTCTCTTGAGATTGGTGTTTTGTGGCTCTTGAAGAGGGGGTCAGATTCTCTCGAGTGCAGTTTAGTTGGTGTCAAGATGACGGCTGAGAGCATCTTTCTGGGGTTATGTCTTTGCTGTGGTTGTTGTCCTGGAGCTTACACCACTGCTCCATATTGAGCTGTTTATTTGCTGGTCATTAATGGCAGTACACTGTGAATTGGTGGTGCATTGCAAATTTGGTGCCAATTTATATTCTGCCAGCATCAAGAAGGCATCCTTCTGGATGTGTGCAAATTGTTTTCCATTTTTGATATCAGTCATCCTTAGCATCAGGGACAAAATATGGGGTGCCAGCTCAAGTTTAACGTTTAAACATTGAAAAGAAATAACTGAAAGTTTTGTCTTGTGCTTGAATTCTGAATGGTGGTGTGCTGTGAATTCACATTAATTCCAGTAGGGTTTGTTTTACTTGTTTCTGGTAATAGGATAAACTGTAACATAAAAACCTCTCTGCATTTGGTGCTTGCTGTCCTGCAAGTGTAAAGACCATGTGTTGCCATATTTGACCAAACGATTTTGTCTCCTTCCTTTTGTTTTTCCACCATAGCTGTTGCAGTAGAAATGGGAAGAAGCCATTCAGTCCCTCCCAGGACTGTTGCACCTTTCTGTTTGTTTTTCAGTTCTATTTATCTGTCTCTGCTCTGCATTCCATTGCTGCTGTTTCCCAGTAAAGATTTAAGGGTGACACGGTGGCTCAGTGGTTAGCATTGTTGCCTTACAGCACCAGCGACCCAGGTTTCAATTCTTGGGTGACTGTCTGTCTGTGTGTAGTTTTGCACATTCTCCCTGTGTCTGCGTGGCCTTCCTCCGGGTGCTCTGGTTTCCTTCCACAGTCCAAAGATGTGCAGGTTAGGTGGATTGGCCATATTAAATGCAGAGTTACAGGGATATGGTTGGAGGGTCAATACAGAGTTGATGGGCTGACTCGCCTTTTTCCGCACGAGTGGAATTCTATGACTCTATGACCCAACACCCATTGCCTTTTTCTTACGTGAGTTTTCAGATTTTCACCATTCTTTTAAGTAGACCTCCTATCAGCCTAGCTCTGACTGTAAAGCTCTTTGTGCAGGTGCTGATTCAGCGTCAGTAACTGCACATACTCACGTACAGCTGGCACAGACCCAGGTGGCAGAGATCAAGCAACTGGCCCTGAAAGCGGAGGCTAAACTGGCTCAAGTACAAGCGGAAGAAATTCATCTGAAAAGAAAAGAAGAAGCTGCAGTGAAAGCCAGCAAAGAGGTTGCAAACCTGCCAGCAAAAGAAGAAATACCTGAACAGTATCTACGGGAAGACTAATCTGTATAAAGAAATAATTTGCTGCATTGGGAATTGGGGGATGGAGTATTGTGAGGAGCTTTGCAAATGTTTTTAACTTATACGAATAACAATTTTGTAATAAACAGTTCATTCTTTTTGTTTAGACCTCCTAGAATCAATCATTTTGGGGACAATAAAAATATTGTCAAAATAGAATTACTAACTAGTTGGTTGTGCCAGCTTTGACTTTTGAAAGATTATATTTCTTTATATAATGTTAATTGTCAACTTTTAGCTACACCTGATTCAGGTTTGTTACTATTTGTTATCTTCCAAGATTTTGAGAATTTTTTTGTTACCTTGAATGGTGTTGGCAATGGAGAGAAAAGTGGGGGAATGTGACAAGAAAAACCAGGCTCCTGAGAGTCAGAAAATAAATTTGATTCACTTCTTGGAGTTTAAACGACTAAGAAGTGGGGCCTATTTTATTTCTATGTATTTGCATCTCATTAGTTAATCTCACCTCATTTCTTTGCAGTTGCCATTTCTTGCTTCCTTCCTTGAGAAACTAGACATCACCAATTCCCAACATGAAAGTCAGTGGTTATTTGGCCGCAGCAGCAACAGCTTACCGTTTGCTCCTCCAGGTCTCCATCCAATTCTTGGGCTTGCATGCTGTTTAGTTTGTCGCTGTTTAGAGTCCTGATCATGTTGGTGCACAGCACTGTCGTTTCACTCCTAAAGTATATGCCAGTGCCTTACGCAGCAAACGAATAGCATAGGCTACAACCATGTGCCCAATACTTAGGGTCAAAGGAGACCAGCCCTTTGAGGGAGGAGTACTACAGTCAGAAAGTGGGGGTGTGCGAGAAGTCAGCCAAAGGGCTTGTCTCATGTCAGTCCAAAGGCAGGCACTTGGTCTGCCCAGAGGTGGGGATCAGTGAGCTTGCAGTCCAGGTGACTGGGCTACAGTCAGTCTTGCAGGCCACGTGCAACCATTCTGTGATAGTAGGAACTGCAGATGCTGGAGAATCTGAGATAACAAGGTGTAGAGCTGGATGAACGCAGCAGGCCAAGCAGCATCAGAGGAGCAGGAAGGCTGACAATTCGGGCCTAGACCAAAATGTCAGCCTTCCTGCTCCTCTGATGCTGCTTGGCCTGCTGTGTTTATCCAGCTCTACACCTTGCAACCATTCTGGGGATTACAGACTACCACAATACGATGATAAAGTTTGTAAACTCTTAAAGCTGTGGGGAATTGCGTGCTGTGCTGTGATTGCATGTTCCATCTATTCAGTCTGGGTTAAGCTGTGCTCAGTCAGAGCTTTCTCCCAAGTTAGTCTGGGTGGTTGGTCACTGTCAGTATGGTATTAGTGATCAGGGGTTGTCTGTGCTGTCCCAAAGAAAATGGGAAGCTCACACCAGGGGTTGACTGGGTCACTGAGTGCATGATGATGGTAAAAGGGAACATTCAAGAGAGTGTGTCCTCATAGAGCACAGGAGGAGATGGGTAGCTTACAATGAGTCTGGCCTCAACATGAGAGTGTATGACCAACAAGGGTTTGAGTAATCTAGGGTTGCTTTCCTTGGAATTCAAAAATATGACAGGTGATCTTATTGAAACCTATGAAATTGTGAAGAGACGTGGCAGGCTAGAAACTGTTGGGGGGGTGGTGGGGGAAGAAAGGTTCCTTTTATTGAGAAGTTGAGAATGTGGGGTCACAGTCTCAGAATAAGCAGCTGGCCACTTAGGACGAGAGATGAGGAGGAATTTCCTCTCATGAAGTACTGTGGATGTTTGGGATTGTCTATGCCAAAGAGTTAAAGATGTTCTGTCCTTAAGTATATCCAAGGCAGGAGTCAATGGATGTTTAAATAGAAAGGGAAGTAAGGGATGATGAAGTTGAATGAGCAGAGTGGGCTTGAACCGCCAAATGGCCTGGTCCTGCACTTATTACTTGTGTTCTAATGATAGATGTGTTTCTGAATTCTATTTGTTTCTTGTTTCAGAAAGGCAATTGCCAGAATGTAGTCATATTTAATCATGGAAATTTCAAGTGAGAGCAACTTGTAACACTTACATGGTGGCTCAGTGGTTAGCCCTGCTGCCTCACAGCACCAGGGACCCGGGTTTGATTCCAGCCTCGGGCAATTATGTGGAGTCTGCACGTTCTTCCTGTGCCTGAGTGGTTTTCCTCCGGGTGCTCCAGGCTAGGTGGATTGGCCATGCTAAATTTCCCATAGTGTCCAGGGAGGTGCAGGCTAGGTAGATCATCCATTGGAGATGCAGGGTTACAGGGGTAGGGTAGGAGCTGTGACTGGGTCGGATGCTCCCCGGAGGGTTGGTGTGGACTCAATGGGCTGAATGGGCTGCTTCCACACTGTAGGGATTCTATGATTACACATTGCATACAAAGATTTTTTACATTTATGCAAAGCAAGAACATGTGCTAAGTGACAATTCATCAACAACCTGATGGTTGTGTAACTCTGAAAATCTAAGCTGGAAATGTACCAGTGGAGTTATTGAAATAATACATAGCTATAAATTGATTAATAATCTACAAAAATAAACAGATAGAAAGCAAATGGACCACACGACAAGATTTTGATAACTTTTGATTATACACCTGTGAAACACTTTCCCACTTGCAAAGTATCGAGTAACGGTCACCAGGATTAGCCCCAAACCACCAGTACCTGTATACCAATGTGTTGTAATAGGCTACAATAAAAAAGTCATTAATAGAAACAGCCAACTTCATTGGAAATGGAACATCACATTTGGA